TGTTCAAATGTAGATTTGAAATTCTCATAACAGGCATTTAAAAGTAATATAATTTTATTAATTTGAAATACTGGTACTATGTTAAGTTATAAAAATAATTAAGATAATACTTCTATTACTGTTAGTAAATTTAGTTTTTCTTTAATTTTTTTATTTGAAGAATTAAATCTTGTTTATGCTTAATAGTAAAACTTTTATAGTTTTTGAGAATGGCTATTAAAGTTCAAATATATTACATTATAATTAAAACTATTTTGCAATTATTCATTATTCAAGAATTTTTACTAATAAAAATAAATTAGATGAATCATTTAAGAAATGCTTGAATAATATCCACCAAAATAGGAACACTAAAATAGTTCACTTATAAAACAGAGGAATTAAAAATCATCTTTTTTAAACTAAAATTGTTGAAAAGAAGAATGTTGAACATGTATGATACAATTTTCTGTTATAAGTAACAGCTTTGGTTTTAGAAGGTTTAAATACTGTTGTAATCTTTATGTATTTTAATAATTTACCAAAAATAAAGATTTATAATTAATTTATGGTCATATTAAAAGCTTACAATGAAGGTTTGATGAAATAATTTTTTAAACAGATGATGTAAAATATAGATTTATATATTGATGATGATGATTTTTTCCTCAATGTTATTTTATAATAATTTAACTTACAAGAGTCATTTAAAAAGTTCTCAGAATGAAGTATAGATGATGGCAGTATAACTGAAAGTTTTAGTGCAATAGAATATTTCATCTGTCACATGATCATGTGTAAAATTTGAAGTCATTCTTCCAATTACTTTTCTGTTTAAATAAGATGTGTTCTGTGTTTTTTACAAAATAAAAAACATTGAATTTTGTGTACTTATTAAATATTTTGTTAAATAAAAATTTAATGGCAATATACAGATATGAAAAAAATACTTTATTGGACTCTTNACATTTTATATATATTCCGTCGAATTTTTATATATAGAATTTGTCTGCCGTCGCCCCTCTATATTTTCTTAACGCCCCCCAATTCTCTTTGAGCCTTCTACTGCCCCCCTGAAAGCCTCCAGCGCCCACAAGGGGGCGTTATCGCCCACTTTGAGAAACGCTGGTATAGATGATGGTAGTATAACTGAAAGTTTTAGTGCAATAGAATATTTCATTTGTCACATGATCATGTGTAAAATTTGAAGTCATTCTTCCAATTACTTTTCTGTTTAAATAAGATGTGTTCTGTGTTTTTTACAAAATAAAAAACATTGAATTTTGTGTACTTATTAAATATTTTGTTAAATAAAAATTTAATGGCAATATACAGATATGAAAAAAATACTTTATTGGACTCTTCTCCTTCATTTTCAATAGTCTTCAAGTTGACTATTGAATTTAAACATGGTAGTGGAAGTCATAAAGATGATTCTTTCATTAAAAACAACTAACACCTGTAATCCAGTTAAAATAAATCAATTTATTATAAGAACAAACATTTTTAATTGTCTTCAGGTTATGGATTGTTACATAGAGCAAAATTTAAATAAAATAGAATTTATTAAATTCGTGCTGGTGGATCTTTTTGATGATCCTTACAGTGGAGTCATTAACAAATCTATGTGATTTTTGCAAGATCAGCAATTAAAGATATTTGACATCACTAAAACTGTAAACATCTCAGATGCATCAGTATTTCATATTTTGACTGAAGAATTAAAATATAAAAACATATAAGACATACTAAAACACATAAAAACAAAACAAAATAAGATGAGTGTCACATTTGTTAACAATTGAAGAAAATGCATTCGTACTTCAATTTCTGAAGTGTCTGAACCATTTTCAAGAAAAAGAAAACTAGTTTTGTGCCTAGATTTGTTACCACAGATGAGAATTGGGTTCATCACTACACACCAGATACAAGAGCAATCAAAGCAATAAATAGAACCTGGATGCTTAGCACCAAAGAAGGCAAAGATGCATTTGCAGGCAATGATTTTCTAAGATGCTAAAGGAGTTACAATAACAGACTATCATTAAAAGGGTAAAACAACAATGGGAGAATACTATGATCATCTTTCAGATTAATTAGACAAAAATATTTAGAGAAAAGAGCAGGCAAAGAACATCATTCACCAAGACAATGCACTTGCTTACAGAAGTGTCTTTATGATAAAAAAAAATCAATGAATTGAAGTACAATTTGCTGCCACATGTGCTGTATTTGTCTGATTTAGCTTCATTCTATTCCTGTTTGTTTCCAAACCTGAAAAAATTCATTACTGGAAAAAATTTTTTTATCAATTGAAAAGTGATAGCAGTAGTAGACAGTTACTTTGAGCTTTCAGAATCACAATTCAGGGATGACATAATGGCTTGGAGTAATCTATTGATGTTGGAAAAATCTATTGATATTAAGGGAAGAATATATTGAAAAATAAAAATTTCAGAAACATATAAATCACTTTTCTATTTTATTCTAAGAACTTTTTGAATTCTTTTTAAGAAAGAAAGATAACATATTTTACCTTTTTTAATTTAGAATATTTAAAAAATAAATTGTCATTAAAACATATGTAACTATATATGCAGTATATAATAGCAAAAAAATATGTAATTACCAACAACCAGCATGAATTAGATTTAATTAAAGCACAAAAAATAAACATTTTCCTTCATTTTTAATGGTCATCATCAGGTATAGAACTAATAGAATGCATGTGTTAAAAAGAACAAAAATGTAAAAGTTTTGAACGTCATAAAAATATGCACATGCTCAATGTTGCATTTAACAACGTTCTTCAAATTGGATAACAATTTTTTAAAAATATCTAGTTTACACAAAATATAAAATCCAAACTTAATTCAAGACCTGTTGTAAGGTAAAGCACACTCTCCATGCAGTTGCTAATGAGTCCATTTTCTTAAAATTAATCACCGTCCCTCTTTTTAAATGCTTTGAATATTTCTAGTCTTTCAAGATATTTCAGGTTGGTGGGTCATCACTGCATTATAGTAAATGGGCATCCTCAAATTTAACTTACACATAGTTATAAATAGCAAAAGAAACTAACATGATAGTGGAAAGACCCTTTTAAATTGTGTATTTATGCTCCTTGATTTTCATTTTTAGACCACAAGAAGTAGCTCCAATATATTCAATGGACAGTTCACCCTATGATCATGTACAGTACTACCAGGATAGAGCCAACCTGAAATATCTAGAAAGACTAGAAATATTCAAAGCATTTAAAAGAGAGACTACGATTAATTTTAAGGAAATGGACTCACTAGCAACTGCGTGGAGGGTATGCTTTGACTTACAATAGGTCTTGAATTAAGTTTGGATTTTATATTGTGTATAAACTAGATACTTTTAAAAAATTGTTATCCAGTTTGAAGAACCTTGTTAAATGCAACATTGAGCATGTGCATATTTTTACGACATTCTAAACCTGATGACCATTAAAAATGGAGGAAAACATTTGTTTTTCATTTAATTAAATCTAATTCATGCTGGTTGTCGGTAATTACATAATTTATTCTTTATACCAGTAGTTTCGTGAAGATTGTATATAATAGCAAAACATAATATTCAAGAAGTTCAACATTTATAAATTATATACTGTAGTTCACATCACTGGTTCTAAAAACTTTTTGCTGCTCATGCTCCTTGATTTTTAAAATGTGCTTTCATATCCCCCAAGTAAAATTAAAAATTTTATTTAAAGAATGTCCCATTTTTTCATGTGTAATTTTAATCTAATTTTAGATGCAGTTTAAGAGATTATGAAAGAAAATTCATGTGTCAATATATATTTATCAATATAAAAGCATTTATGTTTGGATTAGCAATTCTGAATAGAAATAACATGTAATTGGGCTGCAATTTGAAAAAATTGTAGACCTATACCCACTGTTTTTCCCTAATCTCAAGAATGGTATTAGATAGGTGAAATCCAAGACCAGATATGGAAACTTTAGTGTCAAAATCCTTCATTAACTATATACAAACTTCTGATGCAAACTGGAAGTCAAGTTATTTTGATTTAAAATGCTTTTCCCTTGAAAGCAGTTAACAGATGATCAGTACAACTCTATTGTTAAAGAAAAGTATGATGTACAGGGGCAAGCTGCTACTAATTTGAGGTGGAGAGCATATATCTTAAATTAAATTGATAAAAAAATTGCAGCCCAGCATTGTGACAATAGCGAGGTTGTGGCCGAAGTTTTCAACACAAAACATGAACATCGGACATTCAGAGCCACCTTCCTGTAAGCCTAGAAGTGTGACAATGGCATTTGGAACATTGAGCACAATTCCACTGACATTCCAATGTTCCAAATGCCATTGTCAAACTTCTAGGCTTACCGGAAGGCAGCTCTGAATGTCCGATGTTCATGTTTTTGTGTTGAAAACTTTGGACACAACCTCGCTATTATCATAATAAATAATTGCTCGTTATACATTTAGCTTAGATATTGGTATATTTTTATTAAGATCACATTTTAAAGAAATGTTGATTTCTTACCAGAAAAATTATAAGATTTTTTTTTAAACCATTTTAAGTATTTATAAATAAAATAAAATTATTTAATATAAAATAGCATCATCAAAATGGAAAATCAATCAATTTTTTAATTTTAATACTGTAATAAAGTCACAATCAAACCACCAAACTATATTCTTGACAGGTTAAAATTAATATAATTATAAAAATTTGCTGTTTTGTGAAAATTGTTGTAATCATAAGTTGTAAAGAAAAGTTTAGAAATTAACATTTTAAAATGCTTTACATTGAAGTTAAATTATGTTGTTATATTCCACATTTATTTATTAATAAAATGAAAATGATTACAATAATTTTTAACAAAATTTAATTTATTTTAACAGGATCCCCCTTATTTTAGTGAGCCTTATTCAGAACAAGCATTGAATGATGAGGAAGTGAGAAAGCTGATTGAGTTTGGTGACGACTATGGAGCTTATCTTGGATGTCATTCTGATGCATCTTCTTTTAGTGATGGCCGTAACTTGACTAGAATGCATATCTCACATTCTCGTTCACAAGTAAGTAAAAACTAGTCTAAATTATTTTTATGTTCATATTTAGTAAATAGTTTCTAAAATAATAATATATTTGAAACAGTTATAATTTTTATCAATGAAAATTAAAGAATACATTTCAATAAACTTTTTAAGGATTTTAACCATACAGATATTAGGTTTCTGGTCAGATTTCCACTTAAATTTTATCTTTTAATCTTATTGAATCAATTTACAAAATTGATAGCACAGAATAGAATGCAGGATTCTTTTTAAATAGTGAATATATCTGTTCAAATGTGCACATACAATTTTACTTTTAATAATATAAGTGTAATTAGACAAGAATTTTACTAACAATTTTTTTATTTAGTTAATTTTGGCACAATTAGAAAAGGAATCCCTCAATTAGCAATTCTTGCAAAACATGCTGTCAATTTTTAAAACTGGAAAAGTCCCATTTTGAAGTTCTTTTCATACATGTAAATATGCATGCATCTACATACAACCTAATTTTACATTCTGTGTAAAATTGAAATCATGTAGATTATGACTAATATTTATGAGAAATGGGAGATTGAGTTCCAAGGTTCCATTTTTTCTTTTTTTATTAAAATGAATAAAAATGTAATTTTATTCCGTATCTTCTTCACTTGTTAATAAAGAATTTTCCTTGTTCTTTTTAACTGAAATTCTTACATCATATATGTTACAAGCTTCTTTGATCCCAGTTTTTTTTTTATTAGTTTACTGATGATGTTGATAGTCTTAATAAAATCTGTTATCAAAGTTATATTTTTATTTAATTTTTGTAAGTTTCTTAATTCAATATCATGTTTATATATATGTATTAATAGTTAGCAGAGGTCTAAACATTAATTTTATTCATGAAAATACTTAATTTGAAAATAAAATACTGGATTTTAAAAAATATTTTAAAATGCTATGTTAAATCAAAATTATGCAATTCCAACTACTATGTAAATCAAGGGTTAAGTATAGTTTTTGTATGTTCACACTTATTGGAGATAACTGTTTATCTCATCAACCATAAAAGATGCTGGTGTTTTAACTTGTATATTTATATTTTCATAAGTAGATAGTATCTGTTTTATTAGAATAATAATTTCTTATTAATAGTAATTTCATCTGGTCTTTAAAGCTTGAAATAAAAACTGTCCTTGAATAGCAGTAGTGTATGCTATTTGAGGATTTTTGAAAACAAGGGAAACAGTAAAATTAACAAGTACTGTAAACTACTGTAGGTAGTGTAATGTCCAACTTCAAAGCACTACACAGAAAGTTTCCAGGATGAAAACATGCTTTATTTTTACAAAACAAAAACAGTTACAAAAGAAATACATTAAACTAACAGAAGAACTAAAAAAAAACAACGNTGGATTTTATAGTGTGTATAAACTAGATACTTTTAAAAAATTGTTACCCAGTTTGAAGAACCTTGTTAAATGCAACATTGAGCATGTGCATATTTTTACGACATTCTAAACCTGATGACCATTAAAAATGGAGGAAAACATTTGTTTTTCGTTTAATTAAATCTAATTCATGCTGGTTGTCGGTAATTACATATTTTATTCTTTATACCAGTAGTTTCGTGAAGATTGTATATAATAGCAAAACATAATATTCAAGAAGTTCAACATTTATAAATTATATACTGTAGTTCACATCACTGGTTCTAAAAACTTTTTGCTGCTCATGTTCCTTGATTTTTAAAATGTGCTTTCATATCCCCCAAGTAAAATTTAAAATTTTATTTAAAGGATGTCCCATTTTTTTCATGTGTAATTTTAATCTAATTTTAGATGCAGTTTAAGAGATTATGAAAGTAAATTCATGTGTCAATATATATTTATCAATATAAAAGCATTTATGTTTTGATTAGCAATTCTCAATAGAAATAACATGCAATTGGGCTGCAATTTGAAAAAATTGTAGACCTATACCCACTGTTTTTCCCTAATCTCAAGAATGGTATTAGATAGGTGAAATCCAAGACCAGATATGGAAACTTTAGTGTCAAAATCCTTCATTAACTATATACAAACTTCTGATGCAAACTGGAAGTCAAGTTATTTTGATTTAAAATGCTTTTCTATTGAAAGCAGTTAACAGATGATCAGTACAACTCTATTGTTAAAGAAAAGTATGATGTACAGGGGCAAGCTGCTACTAATTTGAGGTGGAGAGCATATATCTTAAATTAAATTGATAAAAAAATTGCAGCCCAGCATTGTGACAATAGCGAGGTTGTGGCCGAAGTTTTCAACACAAAACATGAACATCGGACATTCAGAGCCACCTTCCTGTAAGCCTAGAAGTGTGACAATGGCATTTGGAACATTGAGCACAATTCCACTGACATTCCAATGTTCCAAATGCCATTGTCAAACTTCTAGGCTTACCGGAAGGCAGCTCTGAATGTCCGATGTTCATGTTTTTGTGTTGAAAACTTTGGACACAACCTCGCTATTATCATAATAAATAATTGCTCGTTATACATTTAGCTTAGATATTGGTATATTTTTATTAAGATTACATTTTAAAGAAATGTTGATTTCTTACCAGAAAAATTATAAGATTTTTTTTTAAACCATTTTAAGTATTTATAAATAAAATAAAATTATTTAATATAAAATAGCATCATCAAAATGGAAAATCAATCAATTTTTTAATTTTAATACTGTAATAAAGTCACAATCAAACCACCAAACTATATTCTTGACAGGTTAAAATTAATATAATTATAAAAATTTGCTGTTTTGTGAAAATTGTTGTAATCATAAGTTGTAAAGAAAAGTTTAGAAGTTAACATTTTAAAATGCTTTACATTGAAGTTAAATTATGTTGTTATATTCCACATTTATTTATTAATAAAATGAAAATGATTACAATAATTTTTAACAAAATTTAATTTATTTTAACAGGATCCCCCTTATTTTAGTGAGCCTTATTCAGAACAAGCATTGAATGATGAGGAAGTGAGAAAGCTGATTGAGTTTGGTGACGACTATGGAGCTTATCTTGGATGTCATTCTGATGCATCTTCTTTTAGTGATGGCCGTAACTTGACTAGAATGCATATCTCACATTCTCGTTCACAAGTAAGTAAAAACTAGTCTAAATTATTTTTATGTTCATATTTAGTAAATAGTTTCTAAAATAATAATATATTTGAAACAGTTATAATTTTTATCAATGAAAATTAAAGAATACATTTCAATAAACTTTTTAAGGATTTTAACCATACAGATATTAGGTTTCTGGTCAGATTTCCACTTAAATTTTATCTTTTAATCTTATTGAATCAATTTACAAAATTGATAGCACAGAATAGAATGCAGGATTCTTTTTAAATAGTGAATATATCTGTTCAAATGTGCACATACAATTTTACTTTTAATAATATAAGTGTAATTAGACAAGAATTTTACTAACAATTTTTTTATTTAGTTAATTTTGGCACAATTAGAAAAGGAATCCCTCAATTAGCAATTCTTGCAAAACATGCTGTCAATTTTTAAAACTGGAAAAGTCCCATTTTGAAGTTCTTTTCATACATGTAAATATGCATGCATCTACATACAACCTAATTTTACATTCTGTGTAAAATTGAAATCATGTAGATTATGACTAATATTTATGAGAAATGGGAGATTGAGTTCCAAGGTTCCATTTTTTCTTTTTTTATTAAAATGAATAAAAATGTAATTTTATTCCGTATCTTCTTCACTTGTTAATAAAGAATTTTCCTTGTTCTTTTTAACTGAAATTCTTACATCATATATGTTACAAGCTTCTTTGATCCCAGTTTTTTTTTTATTAGTTTACTGATGATGTTGATAGTCTTAATAAAATCTGTTATCAAAGTTATATTTTTATTTAATTTTTGTAAGTTTCTTAATTCAATATCATGTTTATATATATGTATTAATAGTTAGCAGAGGTCTAAACATTAATTTTATTCATGAAAATACTTAATTTGAAAATAAAATACTGGATTTTAAAAAATATTTTAAAATGCTATGTTAAATCAAAATTATGCAATTCCAACTACTATGTAAATCAAGGGTTAAGTATAGTTTTTGTATGTTCACACTTATTGGAGATAACTGTTTATCTCATCAACCATAAAAGATGCTGGTGTTTTAACTTGTATATTTATATTTTCATAAGTAGATAGTATCTGTTTTATTAGAATAATAATTTCTTATTAATAGTAATTTCATCTGGTCTTTAAAGCTTGAAATAAAAACTGTCCTTGAATAGCAGTAGTGTATGCTATTTGAGGATTTTTGAAAACAAGGGAAACAGTAAAATTAACAAGTACTGTAAACTACTGTAGGTAGTGTAATGTCCAACTTCAAAGCACTACACAGAAAGTTTCCAGGATGAAAACATGCTTTATTTTTACAAAACAAAAACAGTTACAAAAGAAATACATTAAACTAACAGAAGAACTAAAAAAAAACAACGTTTCATCCAAAAAAAAACTCAAACTCTTGTGTTCCAAAAAACAAGCAGATGGACTCATCTTCAAATCAGTCAAAAAAAGAGTTCATTATATTTAGTTTATTTATGGTTGAAAAAAACTAATTACTATTTAATTTGAACTATAAGAGAATTCTTTACGGTAAGTACTATATTTATTGATTAAACAAACTTAAATAGACAGACAATGTAATATA